TTTAGTCATTCTCTTCCCCCCTCTACCCACAGACACCTCCTCTTTATGCGGCGGCCGAGTAAAAAGCACGGTTAGAAATCAATTTTAAGGTTCTGCTCGCTCTCGGGTTTCAGACGAAGGTAGTAAGTCGTTACTAATGGAAACTACCTGACAATCGTTCATGGAACAGGGGGAGGTGAGGAGAAACAGATTTCTGAGTCTGTCTCATTACCAATGCAGGCATTCTGAGGTCATTTTACCACACAGCAAATGTTTGGCAATTAGTTACATTTGCTGCTTTTCTTACCTCTGCTTGGACTTCTTTTTTCATTCCCTTCCTCCTGAGCTTTAACTCTGAGTGGAAGTGATGCAGCTGGTGGAAGTAGAGTTAGAGAGACGCCTACTGGTCAGTCGTGGTAATGTATTTTCCTGTAGTGGGTAATGTGAGAAAGTGTATTACTGTAAGAGGACCTGTGTTTTTAATAAAGAGATGAACTTAGTGGGTGTTTTTAGGTTTTATTGTTATCTGTCTCAGTTGTTTTCTATCCAGTTGATCCAGTTGATATAGAAGACAAAAGGTCAAACTTAAAACTAGTCAGTTTATATAAATTTAAATGAGATGCAGGAGTGAAAACAAACACAACATACAACTTCCAAATGTGTGGATGAAAAAATAAGATCTGAGGCTGAATTTACTTTTTTTGTTTTGTTTTAACTAGATTCATTTTTCAAATGACCATTGAAATTCCTCCCACCACCCATTTTACCCAACTTATTTTACTTTTCTGTATTTCAATTTTTTTGGTATCAGTTGTCACTGTTGCATATGTCTCAGTTTTCTGATATTGGTGAATGTGGACATAGTTTTTTTTTGCTTGTATGTTTGTTTTCAAAAAACAAACATACAACAAGAAATAAACAACACAGAATAAAAAGTTTCTGTTAGAAAACACATTTTTAAAAAGAAAATGAAGCTGATTTAAAAATATAGAGAGTAATGTCACTTAACAAAATTAATCACCCAAATTCAAATTTGAATGAAAACAACAGAAAAAAAATGGATACTGAATCAGTTTGAACTGAGGCACGAAAAGAGAAGGATTGCGAATTCCTTAAGATACCTTAACAAAACTGATCAAAACTTGTTAACTAAAGCTTTTTAATAAAGCTAATGTAGCCATGTTATCAGACTGGCTTTCTCTTCTGTTTTAAGTCCGTCATTTGTTTAAATACAGAAACTTAACTCTGTATTTTACAACAGCAAACACTTTTGTTGAACCGATAACAGTGATATGGCTCTCAGCTGTAAAGAATCGCACACTCCTCCAAATTGCACCTATACTGACACAAGCAACATGAAGATTTTCAGTCTTCAGTGTAAATGTATTTGTCTCTCTGTCAAACAGCAAATGTGGCTTTATATTAAGTGGTGAGCAAGAATAAAACACACAAGCAGCGGCTCTGGGTTCACAAAACAAAAGAAAATGAAATTACTTGAGTAATTTGGTGCCGTGAGGTCACATTGATGTCTGACAAACACAAACTGCCAACCTGTAAAGAAAACCTGTTCACCTAAAAACAACTTGTTCCTTGTCAAAAATGTTGCTTTCTCTACTTTGTGTATGAATCTGTATTTATTTTCTCTTTCAATCTTTTTGTTATCTTTTTGCGCTATGATGTCATATTACAGTTCAGATGCACGGAGCTTATTGGAGATTCAAAAACCATCCACAGGCGTGTGTGTGTGTCTGATTGTTTAATTTGTTTCAATGAAACCTGGAAACCTGTTCAGGATGTACTGCTTCTTTCCTAATGATTAGGCTACAGCTCTCACACACACACACACGCACACACACACCCCCACACACACACACACCACTGACTCTGGCTCTTGAAGAACTCCTGTGTGGGTCATAAAATTCTAAGCAGAGTCATATAAAAGTCTCAAGATATGACATTAAGCTGAAAAATGATTGCTATTTCCATATTTTCCACATAAGCCACGCAAAAAAAAAAAAATGGCACAATGGCTATTGGGGTGTTAGAATTTTTGACATGATTATTCCTGTGTTTAATTGGCTTGTTAGTCATGCTTATAAACGTTCGAGGTCACTCCAAAACTGAAATAGTAGAAAACTGCTGTTTGAACTCGTTTTTGAACCGATGCATGTCTGAAAGTTAATTACATTTTTGTGCATTAGCCCCTAAAAACGTCAGGTTGTTCAAACTCAACCTGACTCTGGATTATGTGGAAGATAATGGATGATATTGACATTTGCTTGTTGATCTGAAACATTTAGGAATAAAAAAGGAGCAAAAATGTGAAGAAATCTGCAAGGATAAAATCTTGCCGTGTGTATTTGGTGTAGTTGCTGGTGCAAATATCTTCCTGCACCTGCAATAAGGCAAGATTAATTTCTAAGTAACTTTTTAGCAATATATGTGAGCCTGCTTTAAGAACATAATTCCTTAATATTGATGGAAAAGGTCTAGTTCCACTGGCAGATCATTTCATTCAAAACAAGACATTTTTCACATGTAACAAGCAAAATAATCACCCAGTGGAACAAGAGCTTTTTGGTTAATATTAAGAAATTATTTTCATAAAACAAGCTCCAATATCCTGCTGAACAGTTGCCTTTGTCTTATTTCAAGTAATCTAAGAAATCAGCACTAGAACATAGACCAGAATATTTGGTAAGATTTTGTTTTTACAGTGCGAATGCTTTTTCAAAGAATAGTTCTCCTAAAGAAGTCAGAAAAGTAAGCATAGAATCGAGCAATTTGACATTTTAAAAATAAATATTCAACTGCAACATGAGTGTCTGATGGAACCTTGTTATTATTATTCAGTATTGTCCGTCCATGCTGACACATTAGCTTTGAGCGTGCGCCTTATGTCATTGGAAACATATCAGTGTCTCGTACTGCGTTAAAGAAAAGTCCCAGCTGCACTCTGAAATGTGGATTTGGAGCAAAATTCCTCGCCGTGACTGGAAAAAATCAATAAACAGTGGTCATGGAATGAAGTGCTTCCAGGAGAAGTTGGGGAAGAGATGACCCAGCGTGTGTTTACGTGTGTGTGTGTGTGTGTGTGTGTGTGTGTGTGTGTGTGTGTGTGTGTGTGTGTGTGTGTGTGTGTGTGTGTGTGTGTGTGTGTGTGTGTGTGTGTGTGTGTATTTGTGTCGGATGATGTGGTGGTGGAGAGGGAGGCACAAATGGATCATATTTCCCAGGGTGTCATTCACCAGCCATGTTCCATTAATCTCCCATACACTCATATTGCCTATGAAGGCACTATCATTCATTCACACACACACACACACACACACACACACACACACACACACACACGCACTGCATCTGAGATTGTGTCTGACATGTCGACGTGATCCCATAAGGCGTGGCGTTTTCTAATACAGCAGGAGTTGTTTGTGGGGTTTTTTTTCTCTTAATCTTTGGTTTTGTGAAACACAAAATAGTTTGAATGGTTTCACGAAGCAAACATGTCGGTGTCAACACTCAACCCAACCGAAGCAAACAGGGAAAACGATTCAGTATGTATGCACTGCAGATGAAACACACAATAGGACACGCAAAGTGACTGTTCCTATAGAGAAACACTGTGACCCAAAACATCATGTCAACTTCAAGTGTTTGTTAGAGAAGCTCTAACAGACTGAGCTGTAACACTAAATCTAAACTTCAATGCAAACTGTGCAATATCAGAAAATATGTGAGACTTGATCATGTCACACTGTGCTATTTGGATTATTCTAAATCTGGTTATGCAAACTAGAAAAACAATTAGGACTATTTATTAACTTGACAAAGTCAAGTGAGAGAGTCACGGTTCGTTCTTGCTGAAAAGACATAAAGGAAATCAAGAAAAAGATCATGAACAGCTGGTTTGTCCAATGGTAAATGCCTCAGACTCTTAAGTATTTTCTAGGCACATAGTATCATAGTATGGCACAATCAACTAAATATGTTACCTTCAGTTGCTATAAAAATTTATATATATATATATATATATGTACAGAAATCATTCTGTTTTATTAAAATAATGTGTGTTTAGTTTGCTGTTGCTCAGGTGAACCTAAAAAATCTAAATACTTTTCGCTCCCACACTGAAAAAACGTTCAGGTACCACTGATCTAAGGGTTTTACAATTCAATACTCGTGTCAAATAGGAAGTAACTTCAAATAAAAACCGACAAAGTAAAACATTCAGATAAAATTAAGCAGCGACGGTGCGTATGTCACTAGCATCACCACTTCCTTTCAGGAATGATAGTCATCTCTTCGAGCGAAGCAGAGCTGTACACCTAGCTTTATCTTTATCAGATTCTTTTTAAAGCCTTTCCTGACTCAAACTCATTTCCTCTCATGCAGCCATCAAGGTCTGCCTTCTCTGACCTCCATTTAAAGCATTAAGTGGGTTGTTCATTTCGTCTTTCATCATGAACATTCAAACTGAATCACTCTTATGAAAGACACAAATATCCATAATAGACAGCAGTCGTTAGCTGCTAGCTGATTTGACCCGAGCTTAACAACCTGTCTGCTTTCTCCATGGAGTTTTCTGCTTAGTCACACAGCTCCTTTTATCTGTGCTGCACCCATAGGAATGATTGGCGGTCTCTGAATGATGCTTCTAGCGGCTGCTGTGACTCATCAAAAAAAATAATCATCCCAACTGAAAAGCCATTATTATCAGATTCTGTTTTTTTTTTTTCCTCTTTTTTTTGCCACTGAAGGAGATTCTGCTTAGAAAAAGGGCAACTCAACTCTGAAGGGAACTGATGCTCCTGCTTATCTGTTTCTGGAAGTCAGGTTGCCGTAGATACCCTCAGGTGTTAGCGGAGTAGTGAAGAAGGACAAAGCAAAGTAAAGTCAGAGAACACAAAAATAAAAGCTTTTACCTGTATTTACCTCCCACTGCAGCTGGAATTCCTCAGACTGTTAGTCGATAAGGATCTCATGGGTTGTGCGTTCTCTCCCCGCCGTATCTCTGGCAGATATGTATCGCCTGGAGCTGGCGGGCGGCCTTGGGGTCATCCTGCTGCTGCTGGGGATCCTAACCGCGCTTTATAAGTGCTACAACCTGGAGATTATGCTCTGCTACCGGAGACACTTCGGGAGCGACGAGACTGAAGACGGTGAGCCGCTCGGCATTCCTCCGGGGGATTCTTCATGGTATTTGGCGGGAAACGCTTGACCTGTGGATAACCGAGTCAGCATTCTTCTCTAAGAGAAATGCTAAAGCAGTAGCCAGAAGCTGTATATATGCCGCTTATGACAAAATTGTGCGTACATTTGTGATGGGTTTGAGTTTGTGCAGTTTGTCTTCATCATCTGTTTTCTTTTCTCTCCCCAGACAACAAGGAGTACGACGCCTACCTGTCCTATACTAAGGTTGACCTGGACTCTTTGGGCAGGTCAGACTGATACATTTAATTTAAACAGTGTCCACTTTAATCAAATAAATTAAGTGGATTTAGCTTTCCTTAACCTACTTATAGGCATTTTGAGGTACAAATGAACCTTGTTCACTTCAAATAATGTTAAGAATGGGTCTATTTTCAGAGCAGTAAAGCTCTTAGCGCTGCTTTTTTTTTTGCATACATGAAATTGCATCATGAGTGAGTTGTATGTTGATTTTCTCGACAAACCGCACTCTGTTAGTTTTACTGAGAAACGGATAGCTAACTACAAGTCTGAGTAAGAAATCAATGAAGAAGTCAGGAGCAGTTCCAATCCAGAAGCTTTCTTTTTATAAAAGTAGTTTCAAGTTATCAAAAAAAAAAAATTTTCACAAAGATTGGGAGTTTATTACATGTACAAAAAGTAACCTTTGCGTTGTTTCAGTAATTACATATTATTCATATTTATTAAGTTAACTTAAGTCACACTCACCAAAATTGTACAAGATAATGTTAATTATCAGTTAATTCAATGACAACTGTAAAAATCAGTGAGGCAACGTGTTTGCACATGTTTTTTTAAGTAAGGAGAACTAATGTGCTTTTGATGGTGGGGAATAAAAATTTGCTAAATAAATGTTTCTTAAAGCCCATCAGCTCTGGAGCTCACAGTCAGAAGTTTACCATGTCATTTTGGGTGTTTATTTGAACTCTTTTTGAGGGGTGAAGCGATCATTCACCAAGCATCTGGGATGATTATTCAAAAGGATTTGATGCAAAAGTTTGAACTCTTTATGGATTTTCACTCATCCATAACGGCTCAAGACGATAGCCGCAGCCTCAATCATACACACACATCCCCAGCGCTTGAATATTTGACCACCTCCGAATTTTGTTAAGCTTATTTTAGTCAATTTTTAGACTCCAACCTTTCAGCATGCGCTGCAGATTTTCAATAGACTTGATGTCAGGAATTTGTGAAGGCCAGTCCGGCCTGCTTTAAACATTAAACATGATGTTTTGGTCCCATTTTTTCTGTTGAAACAACCAGGTTTAGCTTCTCTAAAACTACCTGAATAGAATGGGCCCCAGCACCTCTGGCAGTAAAACAGCCCCACAGCATGATGCTGCCACCACCAGGCTTTCTCTCAGTCCTCTTTGTAATCTTCACCTTGAATCTTTTACACATAACATAAACTAAGAGTTTCACCTTATATTAAGAAATTCAGGTTTCTATTACCAAAACCAATCTACCCAAACTACCACAGCTATCTGATGGAAATAAATACAATATTTGAATTAGTTAAACATCTAAATTCAACTCAGTTTTTAGGGTCAGGATTCTGTTCAGAAAAGATTTCTGATTCAGAAATGACTTTTAATTCAGAAACCAATTATACGATTCAATGGGTCCAGAGATTCTGTTTGCTTAAATGACATGACTGACAGGAGGAAAAAACACTGCAGACATATAGAAAAATTATATACAAGTACATACAGCCTTATACTGTATCAAATTCCATCATTTTATTTTTAAACAAAAATAGTTTTGTCCATAAATTTTTTAGGTTAGCTTAGCTGCTTGGCTTTTTCTTAAATTAAAAAAAAGTAAAAATATTATTTTCTCCAAAAAAATAGAAATGTTGAGCATTTTGAACTGATTCAGAATTCCCAAGACTAGAAATTGCGACTCTATATAGACACGTTTTTCTACACCTCTTTTAGACACTGCCTGTCACATTTTCTCAGCTGAACCCCAGTCCCAAACATGTGAAGTAGCCTTTTAAATAAGAGCAGCCATGAGAAGTGGCCTTCATGCTTCATATTTCAGAGTCTGGAATAATTTTTCCTCCGTTTTTCTCTCCTGACAGGACGAGCAGCGACGAGGAGACCTTCGCTCTGGAGATTCTGCCGGATGTTCTTGAAAAGCATTACGGATACAAACTATTTATACCAGACAGAGATTTAATACCCAGCAGTAGTAAGTATCATTCCATTTATCAACCTCCTCTCTCTCACACACACAGACACACCAACACACACCATCACACTCTCTCTCTCTATAGGTCACTGTAATCCCCAATCCCCAGAATTCATCAGTCTGTCAGAATAAATAAAAATGTGTGCAGAGCTTCATCACAGCACACTTACTGCTGAACTAATCTGTCTCTGTCGGCTCTCAGGTGTACATCACGTACACACAAAGAAACATATGCAGTAGTTTTCCTACTTAAATGAAGCTCAATCTCACTTTCAATCAGAAGCTAACATTCACAAGATTTGTCTGTGACTTCTGAGGTCACGTCTGTACAGGCTACAGAGTCTACACAGGACTGCGAATCATTCACACACATTCAGAAAGGCCGCAAACATTTGCAAAACACTTGCATATATATATGTATATAATGTAATTGTGAGTGATTTGCTCTTGTTAGTTCTATGAAGTCCAGTGTAAATGAAATAAAACCCAAAATGTCCGACTGGTTTGTTTTTAAAACATGCTGCTATTATTGGCATCTCAGTTGAACTGAGTTTGTACTGCGTTAGTTTCATTGTCTGATTATCTTGATAGATCTGTTATTGTTAGTGTTGGTATGGTGGTCATTTTCTACGCCAATCCGCTAGATTCTCCTTTCCTTTCTCTGCTCGTCTGAGAATTCCTCCCATTGAAGTGGATTGTCTTTGGTGGAATTTCTACCAATCAGCAAAAAGGAAGAGGAGTTGCAAATGATGACATAGAGGTTTCTTTTTTGTTTGCTTGCTTGTTTTAGAATCGTGATCTGCCTGTAGTTGTAGCACTAGCAGCGGAGGAAGTGAATGAAGCCGTTCATATCGCGTTGGCCACACTTCCGAATATTAAATTTGACATTAACGGCCATCTTTTTCAGTTCCTTTCTTCTCTCTTCGCAGTGGAGGATGGTTGTTTATAGCACAGGCAACTTCTGTTAAGCTTAATAGCATTGAACCAGCAAATTACGCACGACCAAATGTTAGCAACAGGGTAAAATGTAAAACCTGAGAATCCATGCATCCAGGAAGCAATCGTTTCTCAAATATCATGAAAACACACATCCAGGTGACCAACTACACCTGATTTTAATGATGAAGTTACACTTAGGCCTTATTCAAATATTTGTAGCTGTGCTATAGATTTATCTTGGTCTAGGCAAAGGAAAACTGTATGAAAGTGGCTTAGATTGGAAATTGTGTAAAACTGACAAAAATGCCAGAAAGCATAAATAAAAACTTTACAAGCTTCATGTGATCCAATATAATAAATTAATGCAGTTTTTCAACTGCTTCAATAACATCAGTGTGTGGAAAATATCTAGCCTTGAAAGTAACTAAGTGAGAGAAGAGGAGTAAAGACGAGAAGATTTGAACATTTTCACACTGTACTGATGAATATAAACAGACACTTTTATCCAAAGTCTCATGTCAACGTGATTCCTTTATATTATTAGAGCTCAGTTTGTTTCCATAAGATAAACCTCAGCTATGCTGCAGGGATCATAATGTCTGACTGGGACTCAAAGACACGTCACCTCTGACTTAGAGTTGCTCATAAAACAGAGAGGAATGACAGAATGCGTTGGACACAAATGGAGAAAGGAATAAAATGTTTATTCTATACAATAATGAGAAAACAAAGACGAATCCACTTTAAAAGCTCTAATGGGTCTAAACCTCCAAAACCGATTTTCAAAAAGAGTTTAAATTTTGAAACAAATACTTACTGATGCTTCTTAGTTGTAAGAAATGCTTTAAATACAAAAATATTCATTTCCATGCATTTAATTCACAACAGGCGTGAATTAATCTTGACGTGTTGATCTTGAAACTTAGTCTGGAAAAAATGAGAGGAAATCTGCATTGAGGAAATGTTTTTATATTTTGGTGTTAATTATAAGCTTTTGAATTTTAAGAAAGACGTTTAAGAGTAATAATCCCCGAAACGATTCTATTTATCAACTAGGAAGAGCAGTGATGATCCTGAGTGAAAAGGTCTGTATATTTTTATTCAGTGCATGTAAACATGTGGTTTAAACTTTACAAAATAAAATAGTGAATGTGCCATTACTTTAAGTCAAATTATTAGCTTATGTTTTGAAAGTTTAAAAAAAATTAATTCATAACCTCTAAGTAACATAGTAAAAACCCTTTTCCCTGGTTTTACTATTGGTTTACAAATAAACATATATTGCCACTTAAATATGGCTCTTGACGAATAATGTTGCCCCACATAGTTTGCGATTGGCTGAATCTAGGTTTCTAAGAAAAAAAAAAAAGTCATGAAAACAGTCTGAGGTTTCACTGCTGCCCTAAAAACATCCCTGAAACAAATGTCTGCTGTTCATAAAGACACACACACATCGAGAGGAACCGAGAGCATGAGTGCAACACCGACCAAGAAAGAGCGATGCGCCTTTTTTTCCTTTCATTTTTTTTCCGAGTGTTTCTTCCAAAGCCGGCGGCAGAGCAGACCTTAAACACACCATTCAATTATCCAGCCCACTTAGCGCCTCGGAACGAACACGAGAGCGCGAAAATAAATAACGAGAGCGAAAAGAGGTGGCGGCATGGTCACTGGTCTGTGCTGTTTTATTAATTGATTAACATAATCCTCACAAACGGAGATGAGGAAAAGGGGAAGTGGGGGTGAAGGGTGAGAGGAGTGGAGGGAGGAGAGAGAGAGAGATTAAACGAGCGATGGGAGAGGCGCGTCAGAGGCAGGGAAGAAACAGGCTGAGTTTGGGGATGTTCTGTACTATTTGTGCCTCTCAAATTGAGCGTGAAATTGCAATGTGTATTTGGAGAGTCTCTGTCATTAATACAGTTAGCAGGTGAAGACATGACAGAGGAGCAGGGAGCGATGCAGAGATCTGTTGTTCACGGACGCACAAAGACAAACAATAAGCAATTTTTGCGTCACGTGTTGCAAAAACCGACACGGAGAACGCCGCAAACAACTAACTGGAAATGAGGCGTAAACAGGAATAACTGTATTTCTGTTTCACCTTCAGCCCCTGACCAATATGTTTTCCATCAGCAAAATGCTGAGAAACCACTTCCTGTTTTGTGTCGGTCCAAACGTCTGTCACAAGGGGTTCTGCCACGTCATCACCATGTCAGTTACTCAGTCATCCACTACCTACGGTGGATGTCCTGTAGAAATCAGGCCGTGGGAGGAAAGCAAGCAATAAAATATGATGCTTCAGGAGGGGATTCATAAGGAGTGCTCTGATCTTTAAATAAAAAACCCACACCTCCAGGAAGCAATCATTTCTCAATAGCCAAGGGCCCAGGCCCTCTACACGAAGCACACTGGATCTTCCAGAATACTCAAATGACTCAGTGATAGAGCATGATGACTTCATTGGCTAGATGGGTCACGATAAGGCAAGTCACTTATGGCCGCGTATTTCACACCCATAGTAAGGGCCAAGCATCCTCTAAGCCAGTTCGTCCTACATTGAACCTCGATGCAATGTGGAGTTTATTCATCGATGTCGCAGTCGATCAAATGAGACCAAAAGTTTGATTCATTGAATTGTCTGCTAAATAGTTGCTAAACCTTATTCTGTCATGATTTGACACTGTGAAACATCTGATTCTGAATCAAAAATCAAGAGGTCTGTTAGTATCAAATCATCTAGTATGCCCCCTAGTGGTTGAGATTATCAGCTGATAAAGAAGTCGATCAAAGAGCGGTTGTGTCAGAATGTCTCGCAGATGCACAGGACTCTATCAATGATACTGACTTAGGTTCAAAAATCTTTGTACATCACTCAATCAATCAATCAAGCTTATTTGTATGACACATTTCAGCAACAAGGCAGTTTGAAGTGTTTTACATCATAAAATCACAAAAGTACATGTCATATTGTTGGAACTAGTGGCTACATAAAGGAGGACTCCGATGTCACAAAGGTTGCGGTTGACCAAAACAGTCCACACTCTTCTTGTTAATCTATGTAAATTAATGGGTTATATTACAGCCAAAATTATTCCTTATGGATCGTTATTGTTGGGCCACATAAACACTCCTCTCTCTCTCTGTCTCTCTCCATCAGCCTACATTGAGGACTTGGCGCGCAGCGTGGAGCAAAGCAGACGTTTGATCATTGTTTTGACTCCAGAATTTGTTGCCAAAAGAGGCTGGAGCATCTTCCAGATAGAGACCCGTCTTCACTCCATGCTGGTTACAGGAGAGATCAAGGTGGGGTTCAATCTGGCGCGTCCTGTCTTGTTTGATTCAAGTGTTAAGAAGGTCCTACATTTTTCTTCCCTCATCACCGTTTGCCTAGGTGATCATGATAGAGTGCGCAAACTTGAAGAATGTCATGAACTACCAAGAGGTGGATGCACTGAAGCATACGATCAAGGTACGGGGATCATTGCATTCGATGCAGGAAAGGAGATACGGAAGTGACACCAGCGCTAACGTTTGCTGTTCTTCTCGGAAGGTCTTATCTGTTATCAAGTGGAGGGGTCCAAAGAGCAACGAGCTGTCCTCCAAGTTTTGGAAGCAGGTGGTCTATGAGATGCCGGCTAAACGCAGAGAGACTCTGTCCAGACGTCAGGTACAATAAAAACTAAACCATGTTTCTGACATTTTGTCGTAAAACATGCATTAGGAGCTTTAAAAATGTACAATTCTGCACTGTTAGGATCTTTGTTGGGAACACTGACATATTCAAGTCTGCAATTATTCATACAATGAGTGGGCATTTATCATATCGATTACCACGTATCGCGATTAATTTCTTATGAGAATTTGGTTCATAGTCGTCATGAAAAATTGAATTTAATGCAGTTTAAACACACTCAATAGTTAAGCAATCAGTCTTTTGGGATTGAATGTTTTCTCCACTGTTTATTCAATAAAAGCATCAATAAATCTGAAAACACAGTTACTGTGTGCAGCTTAGTGATATAAATCACACTTGTTTACATGCCTGGTGTCCTAAGATATTTCATTACCGATTGAATGTTATTCATGAGCATTATTTGTATTTGCGAGACTATAATTTCTGTGAGACACAGTCACAGCAAAACACCTAAAAAGATGGAATAAACTGTTCTTAGTGTCACTTATCATCATCACAATGGCATCACAAAATATCATGATGAAACTTATAGTCCGTATTGCCCACCGTATTGGTTTTAATCTAAGATGGTAGATTCTGATCAAGAAAAAAGAAAACTCTTTCTCGTTTACAGGTGATGGACTCCGGTGAACAGGGCCTCTTTGGCGACCTGCAGACAACTGTCTCCACCATCGCCATGACGACCACCTCTGCCTCACTAGCCCCCCCCAATGAGAATCGCCATGGCCATCATCAGGTTAGTGAATGCGGACGCCAATTCCAACTGTTGGCACGCATTCAACTACAATAGGTGTATCTAATGCTCTGACTCAAGCAACACTTTGAACTCTACTAGAAGTCAGGGGATGGATACAAAAAAATCTCTAAGGTGTCGCGTATTTTATTTGATCTGTCACTATTATTTTTGCAGAAATCAGTTTTCACTCAAATTATTTATTTTCTGTTCAAAATTCACATTTTGTTCATCATGATTGATTTGTAAGGGCAATACAAACATCCAACAGAGTGAACACTTTAATAGGCACGCTATGTCAAAATGTGAGAAACGTATCTTTAACAATCAGTCAAACACATTCTGTGGAAGTGGCAACTCAGAAAAAAATGACTAATTCAAGCCAAAAATAACAGCAGCAACAGGATGCAACAAACTGATGACAAAAATATAATTAGTCTCAGATAACAATACAAGATATAGGTGACGCTTTTATATTGAATTATCTTACTGAAATGTTTTTCCTATTCTGTGGTGTAGAATTGCGCCACACAGCTCATCTGCTGTATCTTTCCTCTTCCTTGTTTTTAAATGTTTTAAGATAACAAAGGGTCATTTTTTTCCCAATTGTGATTCCAAATTTTCCTTATTTTGCTCTCTGTTTTCCAGATGGCTTGTTTTCATAACTAATCCCAAGAGGAAGTGTGAAAATCTAAACATTATGACAACCTTCTGGAAAATCAACTACATTTCTTTTTTCTTCTTTTTTTAACTCACAGGTTGCCTTGGCAACGGAGATCCCCGACTACAACCAGATGACCTTGCCACTGGGAGGGGGTCACACTGCTACAGCGGCACAAATGCGGCACTTCTGCCGCAGCTACGAGTTCCAGCTTCCCCCACAGCCTTCTTCCATGTCGCCCCCGCTCCCGCCTCCCTCCACGGTGCAGTTCTCCACCCTGGGCCCCGGGGGGCGCCATGTCTATTGCAACATCCCCATGACGCTGCTGAATGGCCAGGTGAGGGAACATGTGTCTTCCTGTTTTTCTCATTCCTAGACAGCCTCATAACATCCACCATCTGCACAGAGTATCCTTTTGTAATGATCCATACTGTTATGTGGTTGCGTGTCCTCGGAGTTGAAAGCAAATAAAAATAAAAGCCCTCTTTTCTCCCCAGGGGTTCAGAGCAGTTCACTGGGGAACAAGAGGTCTGTTTGGATAAAAGAGAAGATAAAAGAAACATTGTTTCGTTTTGTGTAACACTAGAATATGTGTTTATTCTTAAAGTAGAAATTGGGACGGTATGATGATAAACAGCAGGCTTCATAGCCCTCAAACTTTTCCACATTTTGTCAAGTTACTACCCCAAACTTTAACATACATATATAATTGTGACCTTATATATGTTTTTTTATTTTTTATTTACATTTAAGATTCTAAAATGTCTGACAAGTTTTAACCCTAAATAAAGACAGCGCAAACAAACTGCCTTCAAAAGTTATAGTATTATCATAAATCCTTTATTATTACATGAGACTCAAACCAAATACTTTGAAAAACTTATTTCCCTACCTTTACCTGTGGCCGCGCTGCATTAAGAACCACTGAAGAAAACACCACCAGAACCTCAGAAGAAGATATGAGCGCAACTTCTTTCTTTATGAAGCGTAAACAAAAATGGCCTCAGATTTTAGCGGTTGTAGGATTTCTCTCCTGTCTTACCAATAGTCATTTCTCCCATAAGCACTAGACTAAGGGGTTTATATTTGGTTATATTTTCCCAGAATGCCCTGCACAATAGACTCCTTCCTGCTTTTGGAACAGTCTCAGTTCCACTTGGCATTCATATTTGCATTCGAACCAGGCCTGAGTTCACGTCTACCAAACGGAGACCAAGATTTGTAGATGGACCAGAGTTCAGTTTGGTGCTCTGTATCAGAATCCTGGTGAGAATGCTGAACGCTAACAATATGTTCTGAAATGCCCAACATCCAACCTGTGTGAGTTTAAGCTCCATTGCAAAGACAAATTGTCAAAAAATGTCACAGTTGGAGATGTACAAATATGGTAGAGACATAAAGCCTTGCAGTTGTAATTAAAACTAAACGTAGTTCTTTGAAGTATTAATTAGGGAAGGATTCATGCACACCTCACTTTTCAAATTTCTATTTGTAAAAGATTTCAAATCTTGGATCCTTGTCAATCACAAATATGCAGTACTTTGTGTTGGTCTACCATATAAAGTCCCAAGAAAATATGTTGAAGTTTGATGAAGAAATGTGACAAAATGTGAAAAGGTTTGAGAAGTATAAATACTTTTGGAGACTCTGTGTGTAGATAAGGCATTAGACACTTAGCATGCAGTAGCAATGTGTCTCGTAGAGTTGTGGCTTTGTTCGGACATATGTAGGAGAGGATTGTTGACACCTGTGGCTCTGTGTTTGCCAGGTGTCTCAGAGCAGTACGCTTGGGAAGAAGCCAGACCTCCACCTGAACAGCACCTTCGTACCGCTCACCAGCAGAGAACTAAGCTCTGACATCTGGTAGACTGATGGCTCAGTCAGTACCCGTTTATGGACCACTGAGCAGACGCCTTCTGGTGGATTGCTTGTACAACTGGACTTTGTTTGGGGGTGGGGTTGACTTTGTACAGACTTGGGAATTAGACAGCTCCTCGAAGACTGCCTGATGACTGCTACTGGGTCACTTCTTACCACATCATGAACAAAGAACCTTGGTGGATCAGGCATGTCTTGAATCTTAAGTGTACTGGACAAAGACAAATTCTAAGAACTATTACTCTCCATGATGAGGAGAGCGAACTGGCTGCAGACTGACACCAGCTTGGATAGCAAAAAGTCAACCATTGCAAAGGAAGTGCTGCTGCTGACTGACCAACAACATGGACCCTCACTGGGCAGTTTTTAGACAGATGTGTGGACGAAAGTACGAGAAAAGACTGAACAGGGTCCAGGAACCCTAAATGATTAGTATGTGCAGGCTCTGGGGATTCTATCTGTCCAGGCAGCTACCAAGTTGCATCTTAGAGCACAAAAAGGTTTCTCGATCGCAGATTGTTCTCACACCAGCTTCTATGGAAACCGGTTGACTTGGAGTCTACTCTCCACAGAAGGGTCAGTCGGCAAATTCTGTCATTCTTTTCCTGAATGTAGGTCAGTCCTTGGGAAATCAGCCTACCTGTTGACTACTGTAATACTCCACCTTAAAACAACAAGTCAACCTCTTGAAGCACTATAACTAGCTAGCTGGTTTGGCTCATAGAAACCGAGCTGGTTGACTTTGAAATGTTTTTTTGTTTTGTTTTTTTTTACAATGTAAACCATTAACTAAAATAGCAGATTTTTTTTTCTTAGGAACTATTCAAATAAATAGCTATCAGCTTACTGAAAGCTAGCTTTCAGTTGTACGATCATAACAGGTTTCAATGGGCTAACTGAAACCTGTTAGCTAACTGTAAACTAGCCTTCAGTTAGCTAACAGCTTTCAGTTGGTGGTAGATGGTAACCGTCTACCATAACCTCCAAATGTAGTCGACACGGGGAAGCAGACGGAATCGGAGATGATCCATTACCACCGAACTAAATCATATCACGGACTTGGCTTCTTCTCTATTTGCATGACCCACCCATTTAGAAACCAGAAGACAAGCCAATAAACATAGGTAAAAGAGAAAAATGACACCATCATTTGTTGCAGCCTCTTTTTTGTTTTTGTTTTTATATCAAACCTGTTGTGTTGATGCAGTATGTTCTGTTTCCTGTCTGGCCATGGCGTGATGGTTAAAAACTGACAAAAAGGGAAAAAAGGAGGTTTCCCTCCGATAAAAACTTTTATATTTATTTGATCATGTTTAATTTACGAGCTTAATCCTCTTTGACTGGTTTTTTTTTCACAAAGATTTGTTTTTACTGCCCGTTCGTTACAAGAATCTCTGTACAGTTTCCATTACTTCTGTATAGATCCGAACATGACGGTGACTTGTTCTCTAGGTTTTCCACTAGCGTCCACGTGCTCCAGAGGCGTTCCGTTTTTGTTCTCTTCCTCGTTTAAACGGAGAGGTCGATGGATCCCCCCCCCCTACCGACGGACTGAGGTTTTAAACTCTAGCGCCGCCTGTCAGCCGAAGGGAGGCAGGGCGGCCCCACCGCAGAAGCCGCTCGAAAACTCCAAGCTGAATCAAACATTCTTCTTTTTGAGCTTTAAAAGAAATAGTTTAGACCGCAATATTTAAGCAATGTGGATAATGTTTTGAATTCACACAAAAGGTACTGTCATTGTCCTATTACAACCAATGAAATTCTGGACATTTTGAGGATGTTTGATACAATAATTATGAGTTGTTATATTCGATGGCAATATACGGTATAATAGTTGTTTGGATTTTTTTTCCCTTTCTGCTCATTTCTTGAACTATTCTTTGAATATATTTGTTGACATTATTTAACTGAGAGCAAATAAAAATGCATTAGTTGTTTTATTAATTTTTGATGTCTTTCACTTGTTTCTCTGCTTCAAACCCAGCTCCTTTAACCCTCTCCTCTCCCTGCCCTTTAACTTCCTCTGCAGCAACGCCTCATATTTCTCAATATTTCTGAGTCATGTTGTACCACTGATCTTTAGATTTTGTTTTGTTTGGTAGCATAAGACCCAGGTTTCACACTGTGTATGTTATCTCAAATAAAGTATTTGGGAAGTTTTGCTGCGGCTCCCAACGGCCAACAAAAAAAGTTATGGTGAAATTAAACCACACAAGTATAACTATAGAGAAAATTACATTTTAGAGGGTTTAAAACAGCTAAATATTATAATGGTGGACTTTTTGGAATAAAAAGTCTGTACTTTTGTGCATACATCCCTTTTCCGTGCCACTTTTTAGGCATGAATTTACATATAGTAAAAAGAGCAATCTGCTGTGTAAGATCAAAATAGTTCTTATCACTTATGAGAAGCAGAAGTAGATGAGACTACTTCTGCTTGTCTGTATTGAAAAGTCACAAAGCTTTTGCATCTGGCTTCAGTATTGTTGGTGAAGTAGTGAAGAATGGTTTTTGGTCTGAGGAGCTTAATGGTGTTTCCCAAGGCAGCATTAGGAGGGAGGCACACAAATATAAGGTTTTGAAAAGTTTTAATATCATCCATTTATTAGTCGGTTATACCCAGAGAAAGATTAGATTTTTACTTTTTTGTCTGGTGCGTGTGGTCAGTGGGAACTGGACACTTCCCTGTTGTAAACAGGGAGTCTTGGTTTTCTGATTAAATAAGCAAAATTTACAACTTTACATGGAACTCTGCTGTATTTTTCCAGTTTGTCCTCCACCTGATAACTGGAGTCACACAGATGGTTGCAGGTTTGTATTTATACAGAACCAGCACACGTAAAAAGTGGTCACAGAATCACCAAAGGTGCAGTATGTAACTTTTGTAAAACGGGTCAGTTTTTACATATTTTTTTTAAACTGTCACCGTGTTATGACAGTATAATATGAGACAGAGAAAAAAAAATCTAATCTTCTCCCTTTGGTAATGAGAAATAACCAATCAGAGGCGGGAGGGAGGGTCTTATCGCTGTCAATCATGCCCATTTGCCCGCTGCTGACAGACCACTCTTACAGCAGAGTCTGACGTGAAGGCTTGTTAGCATGGTCACTGATAACGGCAGTTAAGTGGTTTTCCTGTCACAGTAAGTTGTTTCAGTCATTAACACATTTAGCAGCACATTCACACCAGAATATTTTTGCAGTAGGATGAGATGGTTTTCGCTGGTTCCTCCAGAGCTCCCACAGCATCACTCAGTTCATAAAACGTTGTGTGCGTTTCTAAAGTGTTGAATCCAAAGCTCTTCTGTAAAATGGCCAACTACAATTTTCCCAAAACGCTGCATACGCAGCCGCTCCCAAGTAGGCGGGGCTTGTTGCTCCAAAGCCTGACTAAGATGCTGACATCACCTCTGATAGATGAGCGCTAACATCATGATTGAAGAATGATGCAATTATTTTTAATCACTTATTGCATGATTTTAATTTATTATTTAGTGGAAACACCACAATCGTGACATTGTGGGGGTTTTTTCGACATTAGTAGAATATGGACACATTTGTAATGAATATGGAACAGTGCTTTTTCTTTCTGTTTGTTAAAGTGCAGAATTCAGCAGTTGCACTAATGTGTGGTTCACTTCATGCACAGTGGGCTCACATGTGTTGATTGACTGTCTGTACATTCAGTGTAAGTCATTCACTAAAGGTTTTTTCCCCTGCAAAAGAAGACCAGACCACAGTTTGTGGGTCCACTTAATGCCCAAAGCATTCACACCAAAAAAAAAAAAAAAAGATTTGTAGAATGTTTTTTATGCTCTGGCAAACTTTAAATAAAATCCCCCTTTTGGGTAACAAGCATCAGATTCTCAAAGGCCAGCTCCATTGGGAGCAGACTCTTTCAGAAATAAAGTATTTTCTGGTCGCAGCTTCACAGCATGCAAAGAAACAGAAAAATCAAGCGACAGGCATAGCACACATTAATAGAAAATGCATTCAGTAATGGCATGAGTATTAACTGTATTTTTTGCTGTTTATGTCTGAATGAAAGTCTTTGCCGTTTCCAAGCAGTAGCTGCACATGAAAACTCCTAAGACCTGGAGCTCTCTGCAAGCAAGCTTTCCTTCTCTCTCTGATGTCAGATTAGACTTTGAAAATCTTATCTGACATCCTGAACCAAGTGTTACAGCCTCTGTGATGGTGAGGCAGAGATGTAGCAGATAACAGGTGGCGAACATGGCAGCTGGTTATGGAAATAATTTTACTTAGAAATAAAAAGATCTTGCAGTCCTAATGAAGTGTTATGTGCCAATGACTAAATGTATGAAATGTTATTTGTGAATCGGCATATTTTTAATGAGTCATTCAGACATTTTTGTCTTAGATTTTACTTGATCTTCTTGTATTGAGGTATATATGGTTATTTTAAGGAATCAAGACAAGCTGTGTGTCTTTGGAACATATTTAAACCATGGATATTAAAGGTAAATGGAGCACTACTGTGATATTAAATTAACATAACAAAATTATTTAAATTAAGAAGAGACTTATTTAAAAAAACTGCAATATGTAAAAAGAGATAAAAATGAAATTAATTTGTGATGAGGGCCAAACCACAAACAGGTGTCAGTCCTATAGATAAGACTCTGGTTTTTAAAGGTTTGCTCTTTTTGAGCTTTCAATATTTAGTTTGGTGCTTCTGAACTCTTTAATGGGAGGAAACACGGTGGTGAGACATAGAGCTGTCTGGGGCCTTTAGTTATTCAGCTGTAAAAAAAAAAAAAAAAAACAGTCTACAAGTGGAAAGCATGTGAAACAAACATGTCTGGGTCTTGTCGGCCCGACAGATTCAACCTAAAAGCAGAAGTTACACCAAGACCCTGTTTACTAATTTGTAAGTGAAAACTATTATATGAAGATGAGTCAGTGTGTTGTCTGTGTAAAAACTCAAGTAACTCAAGAGCGAATCAAACATGAACAGGAAGTGTTCATGTTTATGGCGTCGGTGCATTTGCTCTTATAATGGCACTTTCTGTGTTTTTAGCCAATACATTGGACATGTTGAGAGAAGATTGAATAAAAATATGTTTTTACATAAGCAACGACTTAAGCGATTCACCCTTGGCAACGGCAGGAGTTTCTATAAAGCTTTTATTTTGATGGTCCACTTCCGCCACTTCTTATTTGCCAAAAGACTTTATAAGCAAAAAATCAAAGTTTTTGGCAAAAATGACTTCAGTCATTGTTTTAGGAAGGTGTCAATGTGCAGCTAAGCACTAAGTATTTAGTTAGCATTCGAAATATTTAGGTCAGGGTAAATATTTACTTAAAAAATTTAGTTTGAAAATTATATTGTTTGTAAAGTAAATATTAACTTTGGAACCAAATATTTAGTTAATTTAACGTGGAGGTAAATGCTTGAAAACTAAATATTTAGCTCAGAATTAAACATTTAGTGGGAACGAAATAATTAGTTCAAAAATTTATATTTTAGCTTCCTAACTAAATATTTCATTTGCAAGCTAAATATTTAGATTACAAATTTTAAAGTTTGTGACTTACTTTGCTTGAAAGAATGACAAATATTTTTCTGGTCCAACAATTAACAAAATACTGTAAGAACATTTAACATCTAAGAATATAATTTGTAAAGTTTTATTTTGGTTGGGCTGGAAAAATATGACCCTATGAGTGGGAGCTGCGCCAGTTGGCGTTTGTGAAAAGTTGCCATTGTGTATCGTATTAGGTGGGTTCAAATTAGAAACATACATGTGACTTGTAACAAATAGCATCCCATCCATATCTGTTTTCCGAGACACTAGAAAAGGGAAATATTGAAGATCTTCTCATGCCAATAGGACCTAAGATGGAATAATGCCTAAATGACAATAAAATGCATTCTGATTCAAAAACTTCAGCAAATATTACAGATAGAGAAACTGTTTGTTGTTGTCTTTATGGTGAATTTCCCACGCCATAACTAGTGTCGGTTTTATTTAGAAATTGAAAAATTCAAATTCTTTTTGATTTGAAAGTCTGACACATAAAAACCACAGAAAGACCTGCTCATGTTGTCATCCTGTGAAATCCAGCGTGTTTTCAGAACCAGTTTGCTCTCAGTTCTCATGTTTCATTGACTCTGACGTTCTGACTCCTCACTGCTGTCGGTGAGAGTGAAGTGCTGTCAAAGGAGGTTAGAGGCAACATGGTCGGTCTGTGCTGCAGTGTTTCCCAACCCTGGTCTTCAAGCCACGCACGACTCTGCATGTTTTAGTAATTTCCCCGCTTTCAGCACACCTGACTCAAATGACTGCAGGTCAGCAAATGCCCGTTAATCAGCCATTGGTTGAAATCAGACGCGCTGAGGCTGAAACATGCTGAGTAGTTGCTGCACAGACATGAGCAAAACTTTGTCAGGATTCTAATGGAGGCGTGGGGGACACTTTCACAATTGCAGTGTTTCCATGAAAAAAAAAATTTAAATTAAAGTCACAGGTGAATGTTTTCACACGATAAGTCATTAAAAAACATGCTGTGTCATGATTCTTTACCACTTCCTGTTGTCTTGGTCTTTTCCACCAGCGGGTAAAACTTGTTTTTTGATCACATGACACATGAACTTCTTATATCAGTTTTGCAGCCAAAAAAATCAGCTATCTGGCTGGCTGTCTATTTCATTAGCTAGCTAACTTGCTATATAATTGTATCTAGTAATCTACCAAGCAATCTATGTCACTGGCTTTCTGTCTCTACCTATCAATATAGCTATCATGATTGCCAACTATCTATCTTTCTCTCTAGCAAACTCTATTAAGCTACCTAGCTAGCTGTGTTAAGCCTGTTCAGTTGTCTGTGTTTATTCTGTTCCCACAAACCCTAGTTTTTTTCTTTTGTTCTCTCCCAGCCACAGCTGTGCCACATTTTCTCCGATTAGTTGATTTGGTTCCTGGGTAATTTTTCCCGCCTTGCCTCATCTCCTAAGCTCTCTTGTTTTTGTTGTGTAAAACTTAATTCCTCTGTTACCTTCTTCGTTAACCTCCTACATTCCTTGTCCTGCTCTCTGCGCCTCATTTTCTGTGCGTTTTTATTACTTTATTAAAGCAATGCCACATTTTCCCGCTCCGCATTTGGGTCCTTTCCATCCACAGGAAAGGACCCTGTGGTGGTTTTTTCCTGTGGATGGACCACCACAGGAAACTTTGGGTCAGGGCAACTTTGGGTCAAATTTCTTCTGTGTCACAACCTTCCTTCTGAATGAGGCATACAGAAGGTTATGAGATTCAGAGGAATATGCAGATCTATACAGGAGCTCATGTTCCTTCTTAACTGCTTCCTTTAACTGCTTCTTTCTATAACCTCTTCCTGTAAAGTATCTTTAAGCAGTTCGGTTTGGATGAGGTCCAGCAAAGCAGCTGATGTCTAATGGAACAATCAAAGAGTAAGAGGCGAAGCAAGACCTCTCATTAATCCGCAGGCTGGGTGAACAGTGTCAGCTACGGGATGGGGATTCATTCTTTTATGTCTTCTAAAAGTAAGTTCTGCTAAGAACTGAATGTCCAGAGTTGTCTAGATCCACTGCTGGGATTAAAATCAAATTATATAGAAGTCAAGTTGTGGTACAGCCTTCAGCAGCTCTTAGAGAAACTCTGAGTCGACTGTTTTGCCATAAACCCAAACTGTTTCCTTTGTCTTTCAGAATACATCCTGTTGGTGTCAGTTTGTATTGGGGAAGCTAGAATTGTGTAACTACTCAGAGGCTAACAATTATTTAGCCTCTGTGTATATATAGCTATATAAAGTTAAGCAGAACATGTGGTTTGGAAGTGTTTTCTCAGAGCCTTGTAAAAGTATTATGGCTGGTAGGTTTTGAATTCAATGAAGGTGCCGCTTTCAAAATCATAATACATAATAAAATATCCCAAAACAAAGATTACGTCTGCACCAAGCACTAATATTTACGGCCAAAGCAACTAAAAACTCTGGGGAAAGGTCCAGAAAAATAATAATTCTTAGGATTCTTTGGAGTACTGCTTTTTCTCCTTTTTTTAAATTCTAATTGCCATTTCAGAATTCAAACCAATGAATTGGTTTGAATTCCTTATCAAACTAAGATAAGGCTGATCCCCTGATAAATTGTGCAAAAGTTTCCTTTGTTTTAGGAGTTTTGATTTTGAGTTTTGGTGGAAATTTACCAAGAATGTATGAGTTCATAGACAATATACATGTAATTATCAAATTTCAACAAAGCAGAAAATAAAATGGTGTTGGTTGGCAAAGTGGGTGGCAAATGTAAAAAATGAAATCAATAAATTGTCAAGCATAACGGCCATTAGCAGTTTTGGTCATCTTCACTTCCTCAATTAGAAAATGATCAAAAGCTGTAAATGGGCGGAAGAGCATCACTTTTAACATGAAATAAATTTCAATTGCTTTTGATCAAATGTCCAAACAGGAATACATAGTTTTTTTCCCCCCCTTTCTATGGCTTACCAGCAACAGAACAAAATACAAAACACAAAGGTGTACGGTTGTCGAAACAAGCAGCGTTCATGAATGCAGCTGAAGTGATCTGATACAGGAACTCATATCAAGCACAAAGACAATTTATTTATTCTCATATTTAATCTCTTACAGCTCACATTATAAACCTTTAGGTAAGATTTTCTTCAAATTTACTAAGAAAACTCCTTAAGATCTAAGGTCATGTTTCACTTCTGCTAGGCTCTTAACTAATTTATTTGATCTCAATCAAGATTTCCTGCCCAATTTTTGCCTTTGCATTGTGGAAAACGTCAAACAGAAGCACTTAGCACCAGCTGCAACAGCAGACGTAGTACAAACACAAAAGATAATGGGTGAGAGAGAAACAGAGAGAGAGAAAGAGAGAGAGAGAGAGAAGCAGAGACAGAGAGAAAGAGAGACAGAAGGAAAGAGGGAGTTTTTATTGCCATAGTTTGACCATGGCATGGTAACCAGGCTTGCCGCTAATAGAAGTAGTAGAAATCTGCAATGTGTCCACTAGCAGGTTTTCTGCTATCGTTTTCTGAAGCAACCTTCAGAGGAGGGCATGGGATCAGAAAAGGCAACAGATGCTGTTTTGAGGCACTTCCTCTCAAAACACTTCACAACCAGCAACAGACAGCAAGCAGAGGCATGTCCTCATTCTTACTCGTCTCAGCTGATGGACTTCTCAGAAGTTGCAATGTTGAATGACTCTCTGCCAAAAAGGTAAGCCCGTATCTGCATTTTGAATAAAATGTGCGGGCACAGTTCTATGGCCGTGTCACGCTTGAGGATAAAAAGGTGAGTTCTTATTTTTACCAATAGTTTAATCTTTATTGTTTAGGGAAAATATTGTTCTTTGGGGGGAGTGGTTTTCTTTAAGAAGCAAAAATGATTGAACTTCTGTCATGCAAACAGAATTTAATCATTTTTCAATTTCAGATTCCAATTGCAGATTTTGATATGATCCTAATAACTTAGAAAGTTGCTTTCAATTCTCAAAAATGTCCAAACATAAAAAAGTAGATTATTTTAATGGTTGAACAAACTGTCATACAACTTCAGGAGCAAACATCACCTGGAAATCCTTAAAACAAAGAAAAAGAAAAGGAAAGGAAATACAGTTCCTGATAATCTTTTTTTAAAAAGGAAGTTGTGATTCCTTCGTCCATATCGTCTCCGCTCACAAGAAAGTTACACTTGCAAACATAAGTTTCTGCATGAGCGTGTTTGTTTGCCGTCTGTTTTTCAGCCGCTTACATGCATGTACACTGCAGTCACCAAAGATGACAACGTGTTTCTGCTTGTCCTTTTTGCGCTCACATAAAGATGTGCTACTTTTATTTGGGAGTTCAAAGTGTGACAAGTTGAATTCCTCTGCTGTTTCCTCTCACTTCATGTCTCAATGGGAAGCCACCAAAGCAGCTGGTAGGGACTGGACTCATATTTACTGCACATTGATAGGTTATAGTGTGATTTGGATGGAAAAAGGTGTGTTTTTTGTGTGCGTTGTTGTTTTGGAGTAAATATGCTGTTTATGCTGGTGGATTTTAGTGGGGTTGACTGTGTGTTACATGTAAGTTTTAAAGGTTTCTTCCATGCTTCCAAACATCCGCTTTTGTTTCATTGTAATTTCTAGTCCTTCACAGCTTCGAGAATGGAGTGCTTTCTGTTAGCCACTTAAGAAAATCTAATTTGTGTTTCCTCGAAATGATATAAATGAGACGACAAGGCTGCAAGTCGGTACTATCTGAATAGGATCCACTTTCATCAGTTTGTTTTCACATGCATACTACGATTGAGCTCAAGTTGCACTGAAAATGTGTTTTGTGGTTGCGCCTGCAGTAGTGCCAGGTTGAGATGTGCATCTAAATGGGTCCTCAGCAAAGTAGAACTGAATCTTGATCACCGGATGCACCTCTAACCAGAACTGAAAATGTTCCACTCCTTGCCCTGCAGTGAAAAGTCTCCGTGGAAAGGAGTCAGGCGTTGGTTGCTCTGTGTCATGCTCTCTCTGATGGTGGGAGTTTTAGTTCTCTGCAGTTGGTTCTCACCATCTTGGAGGCCTTTGCTGATTCAGAGGGAGGGTTCGACACCAAACGTCAACAAGACGACAGTTAAAACTGTGAGTATGTTTTGTTTTGTTTTTTTTTGGTCCTCCCGGATTAGGTCAAACAAGAAAATAGCAAGTCAACCTCAACAGGATGAGTCATCAGCAACATCTTACTGTAACTGGACTGTTTGACTTTTTTATGTTGATTCTGGTAATCTGCTAAATTAGTTTACTATAAGAAAGCCTTATAGTAAACCTCTCATTGTCTTATGAACCTAGAACTTATGAACAGGTGCAGGAAGGCTTCCACCTGGATATGAGCTTTACAGAGTACGACTACTTTGAAAAAAACAATAACAGATGGTATATTAAAATATATTCAAAACAAAGATGCAGAATAAAATCTAACTATTTCAGTTCAAGAAAAAAAAAGCACAAACATGCCCACTGGTGATGGTATAAAATAAAATTGTTGTATAACATGTGTAAAATTATTGCACCACTTGCAAAATATATTAGCTGTCAGTCTTTCGTCTCTCACCAGTCATGGTATACCAAAGGTAGCTCAATTTATGTCTGAAGTTGGATCGCTTATTGGGGAATGATGTGACACCCATTAGGGTAACATTGTCATTGTTACTAGATAAAAACCATCACAAAGGCAAATAAATAGGCATTTTGAGCCTTATCAGACTCAAACTAGGGTAACTTAGGAGACAGTTACCCTGTTTGCATATTGACATAAAATTGGAATATGCATAGCAAGATTCTTGCTTTCAGTAGAAAACATATCAGGAAGAAGGAAAGTGGCCAAAACATAATCAGAGGCACAATAAGGATGAAGAGAAAAAATATTTAAAATGCCTTTAATTTTATAAAGTAATTCGAGCAAAACCACTCTGACCAAGGTATTGTGACCCCGACTAGGCATCTTTCCAGTCACAGCGTTTCAGGCGTGCTACATGGAGAAGCTGGTTGCCTACATGTGCCAGAGAAGCTTTGATCTGCAAAATGCATGTCTGGAGATGGGATCCTAATTGCTTGACTGAATGTATGAAATCAGGGTTCCATCAGGCATGAAAGTGGATCGATGGCTTTAATGAAATGTGAACCCATATATGACCTTCTCTTTAGGAGTATTTGTTTGGGAGTGAGGGGCTGTGTAGGTATGTAGAGCTAAGTCTTAATTAGACTCATTGTCTGTTGTCATGAATGGTTTTTTTTTTCCACTTTCTCTTTAGCGTGTCTTGAAGCATTTTTGGGCAACTTGCTTTTTCCTGATCTGTGAGCACGCAAACAAATTTGTGTCAATCAGCTTGTGCAAACAGTTCATGCCAGAACTGACAACAAGGCTCATATACAGCTTGTTTACTCTGCCAACACTCTCCCACATGCCCGCACACACTCACACATGTATAGTACAGAGTCCAAACACCAGGCTCATAATGCTAAAGTCGGTATCAGATTCAACACTTATGATGAAGTACAAAGTTAGACTACTATTTTGCCGTTTGTTTGACTCATTTTTGTTGTTTTGTTGTTTGAATTTGTTGTTCAAATTAAGAAAATACTTCAACTGGTGCAAGAATCTCCACTTACCTGGCTTCTGGAGTTAATGTGTTAATGTCAAACAGAGCTTGTTTAAAAAGAAATGCAACAAATACCAGCATCATCAAAAGCATGCCACCAGTATACCTGAATGCAGGTATACTGAATCGCTAGCAATACGAGATACGTCCTCCTTATCCTGTTTATGAACAGTTAAACACTAATGCAAGATATTCAAGGATATGTTGCATAACACAATATGCAACATATTGGCAAAGTCCCAAACAGCTGTGGGTAAAATGTTATATTTTAGCAATTTTCACAATAGCTATAGTATGGCTATGAGAAGCAGTCATATTGGATTTTGAAGTTGTGGTTGGGAATTCCTAAGTTGTTTCCTGTGGAGCTTTCCCACGACTAACTGCTGAACAGCCACAAGGATGAACTAAAACAGAAATAAGTTCAGTTCCTATTTTTTTTTCACTGTCTCCAATTTATTTATGAATTTATAATTTTGCAATTGTCCCTATTATTTTTTAATAGTTGCTCGGATCACCAATCTTCTGTGCTTCGTATATGCTACTGTCTCTAATTTTCACAGCACTCCAAACATTAGAGAGTTTTAAGTAAAAAAACAAGCAACACTTAAATAGGAACTGTAATTTCTGTTAAAGCGACATTTTCAGCAGATTAAGTGTCATCTTAATCTGACATTACCAATCTTGAATCCAATTCCTACAGTAACAGTTGTGGAAGTAGCTCCTGCCAAGGCATGTTTGGCCAATGTAGATGTTTTTTGTTTTTTTTAAGCCTTCAAAAAGCATTACGGATAAGGCAGCAATAATTTTGCTGACTGCAAAACATAATTTTGAAAAGTAGGAAGTGGAGTTGTTTTAGTGGTTTTACTGCTGAAAGTGAGAAAATCCATCTCTGAAAATCTGATTGTAAATAAGCATTCCCCCCCTTTTTAAAATGCATCTCTATTGGTACAGATGTTGGTGTAGCAACTAATTCAGATGTAATACTGTGCAAGCATTCAGAAAAGAAATTATGTACATCAAACTATGTGATGTAAACGGTCATATTTGAATTAAATAAAACAAAACTTTGTTTTGCCTCCACAGATTTCACCTTCTCCATACATACCTTCACAGTTCTATGTGGAATACCCGTACCAATACCATTTCATAGTGGATGAACCAAACCGATGCCAACAGGAGAGCCCCTTCCTGGTGGTCATAATCCAAGTGGCCCCACAAAGCAAGGAGGCCCGTGACATCATTCGCAGGACATGGGGAAGAGAAAATCGGGTGTTGGGCCAGTTGGTCAGCTACTACTTCCTCTTGGGAAAGTCTAGATTAGGTAACGACGCAGAGCCACCTGCTGAACAGGTGATGTGACCGCTGCTTTTCTCTCAACCTTTACTGCTTGATAAGATAAGAAATGGTACGAGAGTTGAGTAGGGTGAACTCTAAGTGCACTGATGTCTTTTTTATTTGTGTAATGGGTGGCAGAGCTGGCGGCAAGAACCGTAGGTGATCACTTGACTCAAACAAATCTGAAGAGCAAAGGATACATTTAAAGTATTAGGACGGTAGCTGCGTTTCTGTTAACCATAAAACTGCATAAATTGAAATTCTGAAAATAAAAAAAAGTTTTGACAAAACGTTTTTGCACTAGGATAAGGTGGTTCTTCGGCCATATTGAAACTCCTGTTTCACATCACGCAAGTCACGTGATCAACAGCCAGATATTATGACTGACCAAAAGGACAAAGAAGATGACAGGAAGTAGGAGGAGAATGATACTCACAAAACGTCATTCTTTTGACATTTTATGAGCGTCCACAGAATGACGCTCACAAAAGCATGACAAGACGTTTTTGTTTTTTTGTTTTTTTCTGGCAATGTTAAGCTGGCTCCACCAGACCGCTCTCAGGTTCACACAGTTCATAAAAAGTTTTTTTTTGTCTTTCTAACTTGTTAAATCCATAGCTCTTCTGTAAAATCGCCAAAACACCGGTTACTTAGTCACTCCCAAGTATAATGGCCTTGTCATTCCAACACCTGAATAAGACACAGACGTCTCTCCTAAAAATATGGTCTCATGTAACTGTTTACATCCTTCGCTGCCATGATTTTTAAAGCCTTATCGCATGAACAAACACGTACATCTCTGTATATGTTTCTAGGCACTACAAAACCAATGTTTTGTCTGGAACGTGTCTCTTTTGTCTGTACAATCTGACCACTTCCTTCATTAAAAGGAAGTGGTCAGCTGCTCTTCTTCCACCCATTACATGTGTGATGTCGTGTGTGAAAAATGTGATTTATGTAGTGAAGGAAGCTAATACATCAAGACAGGGCATGTTATTTTATGTTTAATAACAAGTCTGTATGCAGATTCAACTGTTATGTGTTTGTGCACACATGCAAACCACAGGTGGGTATGTGTCGGTTCCTGGAACTGTAGGCATAAACAGTGTTCCTTTTTTTGTAAACCACAAAAAAATTGCTTTCATATCCTGCACAAATCGCACTGTGCATAGAGCACCTAAAATAATCAGCGGTATCCTAATCATATTGAAACACAAATTAAGGACAAAAGTATATAAAGCATGTTCATAGATTCAACGCAAAAGTCAAATTTTTGCTTCAGTTTTCTGTTTGATTATGTCTCAATGTAAAGTTTGGGTAGAACTGAGCGTTGTTGGAGCTGAGTAAACATCTCAAGTTTGACAGGTATCTGGAGCAAGAGCAAAAGCTATTGAACAATGCCTCAAATTGTTCTTCGTTCACATAGATCCGTGAGCTCAAACCAGTCCCACTGCACGCTCAATTTGGTGGCAGAAACACCAACTTGAGCCACAGTGAGGGAGAGAAACAGCCCCCACCAGACTTAGATTTAGTTTATAGTTGGAGTTACGAATTAATCTTCCAGTCTTTCAATAATACATAACTATCAAGTGATATTTGACTCCCAGTTATGTATTACACTTCCCATTATTACACTTTATTCATTGTACTTTGCTTCCTTATTTTAATTTTAATCAAATTTAAATCTGTTGTCTTTGTGAACCTTACTTCTCCTCCACCAGATGAACAGAAATGCCCTGATAAATTACGAATTACTTACATATTCAGGGGTGAGTGTGTTTAGAGCTCCTAATTGGCCAGGCCGGCCCTGCTACTGTGAAACCTACAGACCCAAAACAGTCACTCCTATGTAACTCCTTTAAAGGACCAATATTATAAACTTTTTTCAGCTTTACATCATGTTATAATGTTATTCCCTCATAAAAACGTAGCGAGAGCGTAGCCTGGATTCTTTCATGCATATTTGAGAAATAATTTAATTCCCGTGGCAACCATTTCGCTGTATAAAACACCTTAGCTCCGCTTTTGAGATGCAGCTTCTCCTTGGGCAACTCTCCTACGTAACTCTCCCCCCCAACTTAGCTCGTTCAGACTAGCCAGCAGCAATTAGCAAACTCCTGGCAGAATTGCACATCTGATGAACTCATAATACAAGCCACTTCTCAGTGAAATGCTGGTCAGGACATTAAATGGTTAACAGATGAGTGATGCTTTGATGACTTCTGAAGATTCCGGGAAAGCGGGAGTTTCTTAAAGAGGCAGAGACCCAATTTCAAGGTGCTAAATTATGAAGTCAAATTTCTTTTAGGTCATATTTGGTAGATATAGCATTTTTGAAGGTAACATAATTACTTGATTGTGTTGTAAAATGTAACTATGTGACTGGAAAACACAATAGTGCCCCCTTTTAACAGCCTACATGACATCATTTGTGAGTTTCGCTCATTGTTGTAGATAACTGTTGTTGATTCCGTAACTAGTGGATAAATAGCAACAAATTTGCTTGTTAATCCAAAGCCCAATCCCTCATTTACTACTTCTAGAAAGTCTCCTCTGCAATCCGATTGTTTGCATACCAATCACTCTGTATGTGTACCAAATCTTGGCCAAATTTGGTAGTTCCTTCCTGACGTCTGGCTGTTCTTATCACTGAGTGTACTTATGAGTCAGATGTTAACTTCAGCTTCAAATGTTTTCCACAGATTTTAAATGAAAGCAAGGAGCACCACGACATCCTCCAGAGTAACTTTTTGGACAGCTACAAAAATCTCACCATAAAAACGATGGTCATGTTGGAGTGGCTCAGCTCCCACTGCCCCAACACCTCCTACGCTATGAAGATCGACTCGGACACCTTCCTCAACGTACGCAACCTTGTCGACATGCTCCTGAAAGCCCCCCGCCACAACTACATGACGGGCCTGGTGGCACGGGGCGCCGCGGTTCTTCGAGACCCAACTTCCAAATGGTTTCTGTCGCCCACGGTCTTCCCTGAGGATTCGTACCCTCCGTATGCGCTGGGAGTTGGCTATGTCTTGTCCCTGGATCTTCCCAAGCGGATACTGAAAGCGTCCAAAAAGGTTAAGGCTGTCTACATTGAAGATGTGTACATGGGTTTGTGCATGAGACACTTAGGGATTCCTCTGACGGATCCTCCACACGGCGGTTTGTTTGTCGTCAACAGGCTTTCAGAAAGCACGGGCTGCTACTTTGCCTCAGTCATTGTCATGTTACTGCAGAACTCTGAGCAGATTTTGGATGTATGGAAAGCTTATGAGACTCAACCATACTGTTAGACTTTCAATGTTTGGTGGCATTTTCTCCCACGCTCCCTGCTGGGGAGGAACACGGTTAGAACACCAGCTGGTGTTTGTCTCACGCAGAGAAACCTGGTGATTATCTGCAAACCTCACGGTCGTCATACTGAAACCGTTTACAGGAGATGAAATGCAGAAGAAGTTTCGAAACTGTGTGAAACAACTGTGCAGTTATTTAAAGTCTTAATTTATTACTTTTTTCAAAGATTTTATAGGTGGACATGTTTTAAATACTGTTACTGTTCCAACATATCAAAGGAGAGTTCTTTCCAAGTGCACCTCTGTTTTTGAGTGTTTTCACATTATGCAGGGAAGCAGAGTAAAACGAGTGCAAGAATAAGATCAGTGTGTTTCTGCAAGCTGTGCAATAAACTAATTTTGGTTGTTTTTTAAGAGCGCTACATTATCTCCTTCATGCAGTTATTAATGAGTAAACAGAGATATAGAAAATAAATTACTAAAGCCTGAACCGAATGACAGCACTAACAGCAGTGTGCTGTACCTACAACACATCATGCGGTTGTTTTTTTTTTTTTTTAAATCAAGTCCCAGCATGCCTGGACATTCTTCTTTAGGTTGGTATTTTACAGTTTTTCCTTTGTAACTACAAACTTTAGATCATGATCCTGAAATTTTGCTGCAATTTGGTAACTTTTTGGTGACAGTTAAAGCCCCTTTGATAGTCACGTATAACTAGAGTTTTCTTCAATAACTGACTCAAGATACTCATTTATTATAAATGAAGAATAAATGCTGTGGGTACTGTGGTTATCTCATGGAAAGGAGGTTCTTGGTCCAAATCCCAACTGAAACATCTCAGGGTGAATAGCAAATTAACTTAGTTCTTGTCCTGGCCTGTCCATGTTTTGAAAGCCTGACAACAATCTGTTGAGGTGTTTGTTAACCTCTTCCCCGCCAACACCTGGAGAAACGCACCAGCTTCCACTTAACAGGATTAAGTGGAAACAGAAGAGACGGTGATGACTGGATAACTTGTTCATATTCTAAAGATATGTTTATTACCACACTTTAAAAAATGTGCTTTGCTAATTTTACATGAGTCCTCCGGTTAACCAGTTCACGTTTACCGCTGAGAAATGTTTTCACTTCATAGAAAATTTATTCACACCCTAGAATGCTTTGCACTTTTATATTACTTTTACAAATCAATCCGGATGTATAAATTGTGACTTTTTGACAAAAATTTGCAAAAATAAACCCCTTAATGTCAAATTAAAAACTGATTTCTACAAAATGAAAAATATAACTATTAAATTTAGCGCCTTAACCCTCACCCCCAAAAAACCCAAAGCCAAATCGGAATGGTAGGTGTATCCTAACATCATTCCTGCTTGTTAAGTGATTGCAGCCAAAGGTGAATCTACTAAATACTGACTTGAGAGAGGAAAATATTTATGCAGTCTGTAGCTGCGGTTCCATTACAAACGTGAACAAAACTTTGCCGATATTTCGCTAATGTAGAAAATTTTGCAATTGCGGTGTTTCCGTTAATGAGAAATGCAATCAAAAGTCATACAGGAATTAAGTTTGTTCATGTGATAAGTAGAAGTGACTGCTTGATTCAAAGAATAACGCAGTGTAAAAATAAATGTAGCAAAACATCTTTCACCAAAACCACCAGGATATTTTTGCACTGCTTCAGATATATCCTTCCTTAAGGAGAAAGATTCTAGTCTTTCAGACAGGAAGCTGCTGCACTACCTCCAGCCTCCATGCACTATGAAAATCAGCCGAGGAAATAACCACCAAATGTGAACATGACAACCTTTTGTCATTGTTTGTAGTTCTGTCCATTTTCCTTGGTGTTTAAGACTGACCACAGAATCATGAGGCCAACTGAAGAATCAAGGGACACACACACACCCTAACCCAAAAAATAGATATATGTGGAGGATTAGAGTTAACCCTACCCTAACCCTAACCCTCCACATATATATTTTTTTTTTGAGTTGGTTTGTTACAGAATAAGACTGCTAAGGACTCAATCTTTATCAGATTAGTCCTTAGATTCAGCCTTCGGCTTTGACTAATCTGGATTTAAACGAAGCCGCCAAGGGAGTTGTCCACTCCGGTTAAGACGTTAACTAATAATAACCTTCCAACAGAAACTCAATCCTAAAATCCTGAGCCATCTTCTCATTGAGAATTGCAATTACTTGTCATCTTCTCACTGTTCATAAATCTATAGTAATAAAATTTTGTTTCATTTATCATTTAAAGGGCCTATGAAGTTATATGGTTCAACCACTTAACCGCGTGATTAAGATTATATTGCAGCTGTTTCTCTGCAAAAGTTTGAGCAGAAATGTTTAACGTTTGCAGTTATTAAATTCTGCAAGCTTTTTATTCAAAGCTACACATTGTTTTCCAGTGAGTCTGCTTCATCAACACTGACATACATACAATAACACACTATGAACTCTCACAAGTCTAAACTCATTAGCATTCAGTGTCAGTCTGAGCACCAGAGGGGCCACACTGAGAGCAGACAATAGCAAGTTGAACAGAAAGCCCCAACATTAAAACAAAAAACTAAACCATCTGCCTGACTCACTTCCTGAGAAGCGTGGCTTCATCAAGTTCTCAGCTGTGAGTGCTGTTTGAGGTTGACAGCTCTGGATTTGGAGGTTCCTCCCTTCTGCAGTGCCAATGTCAGCCGTCACTGGGGCAACAGGTATATCGTTTTGAATGGCGCCCTCCCGTGGAGAGTGGGTAAATGACAGTATTTTTTTTTTTTAAATCGAAAATTGAACAAGCCGTCGTCCGTCCAAATTTTACTTGCTTTTTAAACAGACAAGAAGAAAATTAATTCAAAATATTAAAGACACTGAATTGCAACTGAATTAAGGGGAACTAATTAAATCTGTTCAGTGGGTAAAACCAACTCAAACGGGCATAGTTGTGGGAGGGAAACGTAAAAGACTATAAAGTTTTCTTATGTCAAAGAAATAATAAATAAATAAAAATAGTTAGAAAACAGAATAGATTTTATTATTTAAAAAATTATATATCTTTTATTTTTTCTCTCATTTCTCCTTGAACTTTCTGAGGCCTTCTTATCGCCCCCTGGCGGCAGTCACTTTGAAAAACGTTCCTTTATAATGCAGTCATTAAATTAGAATATTATTTAAAAGTTAATGGATTCACTTGGTGGTATATTCATCAAGTGAAATATACCAGGTTAAAGGTTTATTTAAAAAAATAGCATTTAAGCAAACAAGCCAATTCAGAACATATATTCTAATTTATTGAGTATGACTGCTTGTCTCTACCTGTGCATTTAGATAATATTTTGCACATCATTTGCCCAAAACTTTCTTCCCGTTGACTGGTGATCATCCACCCAGATCTCTGTTTCTTTGCAGCACCTAACAGGTTTTCTTTCAGGATGGCCCTGCATTCATCTTCCCATCAGCTCTGCCTGAGAAGCATCTCGACAGCATGATCCTGCCAACACCACAAGTGTTTTATGGTAACTATGATGTATTTTCGGTTAAATTTAACTGCAGCAGCTACTTATTTCATGACTTTTTAAAGTAAGTTTTGAGTTGCCCCAAGAAACCTCACTCTAGTTCTCTTTCTTTGGTATTCAAAAAAAGACACACTTCTTCTACTGCCAGAGTAGAAGAAATGCGATTCTTCTTCTGTTTTCAGATGACAAAACTCTGCATAGTGAATAGAAAAAATAATACTGGCCCAAAGACCAAACCTTTAGTGAACATGTAATTGTTGCAAAAAAAAAAAAAAAAAAAAAAAACGTCTAAAATTGAAAACACCTACAAAACATGCTAACAGAAGGATCTGACAATGTGACAATGAAAATATCACCATGTGAAAAGAAACATTTTACTCTGTTACATGCACTTGCATTAACATCCAACAATATGTGAGATTTGAAAGTCACAAAATGCTGGGGCATCATCAGAATCACAATCAACTTGACTAAAAAATATACAATAATCAGGCATAACATTATAACCAGGGGTGGGTGAAGTGTAACACTGGTTACCTGATGGTTGTGGCGCCTGTTTTTGGGTGCAATCCATTAGACAGAACACTGTAAAAGATATTTGTTGACTCAAAGTGACAGTTTGTTGCTCTGACTCAGTAAAGATGCATCAGTTTTCAAGTTCAAAACACGTGTTAAGCACCATTTATACATTTTCAGTTAAGTTGACTTAACTGTCTTTAGCAATCATAATAAACTAAAAAGTGACAAGATTCTTTTAAAAGTTGCTCCTACTTATTTAAGTAAGTTTTTTATGTTATTATATCAAATTTATTTAATACTACATTTTACATTTTATAACCTCATAACTCATTTCTAAGTGAAGATAACTAATGTTTTTTTGGGTTTTTTTACTCTGACAAAAAATCTTTACTGTTGAAGTTTCTTTTGGTTTCTTTTGAGTTTTGTTATTTTTGTTTTGCTTGTTCAGTCACCTAAGTCTGACTTACAAATTACTCAGGGACATTGAAAAATAGACAGATCAGCTGAATGATCCCTGATCCTTCTTCTTTCAGACTTTTTCAAAATATCTTTTTATTTTCAGTTTACTTCTATACTTTGCATGACTCTTCTTTGGTTCCTCGTTTATTGCTGTCCTCACATTTAAGGCACATACTGCCTGGTACAATGTCAGTTTAAGTATGAAGTAATGTCCATGTTTCTCAGATTTATGTCAGAATTTGGGGAGTTTTCTAACAATTATTTTTGACTTTTCAAACTTAGAAATTTCTGGGTTGGGGGTTTCTCAAAAATTTCTGAGATTAACCTAAAAAATGACCGTTTTCTTTTTCTTTTTTAAATTCATCCCTCCTTTTTTCCATCTAATACACTGTCAAACATTTAATTTCTGCCTCACGTTCTAATACAGCACAGTATTTTTGAATATGAATTTGAAATGCATTGAGTCAATGACAGCAAACACCCACTTATGAAAATGCCAATATTATTTTCAATAAACAGAGGCAAACAAGCCACTTCTTTCCAAAAGCAATTTATTTTATTCGGTTGTTAAAATAAATTCCTTTTGTTGTTTGGGTTAAATACAGATTCACAAATGTGTGTGTTTGTGTCTTGTATGCATGTGTGTGTGTGTGTGTGGTGGGTGTGTGTGTGTGTGTGTGTGTGTGTGTGTGTGTGTGTGTGTGTGTGTGTGTGTGTGTGTGTGTGTGTGTGTGTGTATCTAGGCAGCTGACCCTGGTGCGAACAGGGTTACTTTGTGAAACCACAGAGAGACCATTCATCCCTGCGACAGAACACACTCATACACACACAGCCTTCCACTCCGGCCCCTGTAACGCGCCGTAATTTGTCGCATTCACCAACGCGCACAAACGCACATACAGAGGGAGCAAGAGAGTCAATTTCAATCTCTCATTCTCCTACAGAAATCCCGAGCACAGTCTTGCTTTTTGTTTCTCCTCAGGGCCCATAAACACAGCGGCAATGTCCCTCCACATAATG